GTTTTTTGCCCATAGGAACGCATTGAAGGGGTTTCAATGCGTTCCTATGGGCTTTTTTGCCCCGCATAGCGACGAATCCGTATAGTTGCTATGCGGGGCACCACTGTATAATAGTGAACACTACACATAGCATGATCTTCAGCTCCCCTAGTCACCTGTTCTGGTAAATTCATTGTTAGAATTATATATTTATGGGATTTTTCTTTTGATATTTTTAATATTTTCAGACCATGGATAACTGAATGAGTGGACGCTGATAATTCAAATAAGCGGGTTCTACTATATATGGAATCTCTCTAACCAAAGATGTATATGAAGGTGTGTAAATTGCTACCAGAAGGGAAACTGCCACAAGACATCCTATGATATGTATATGTGGGAGAGAGAACTGCAGCAATCCTCACTGCCACAAAATGAAAGCCAATCTTGAGCTGACAAGATTGCTTCAGCAGTGAGTGTCAAAGAAGAAAGGATGCACTCGTGTACTTGCTGGGTCTAGAAATGGTGCCTTCTCAGAAGACAACTCCCAGAATTCTCCCGCCAGCAGGGCTGTTGTGCCAAAATGTCACTTTTCAAAGCTCTGTGAACCTCCTCCTCTGGTCCCTTGCTCATATTCCGATGCCTCGGAGAGGCAAATATCTGACCCCCTTTTTAGACTTCACGCGGGAAATGCAGAAAATGGGTACACTTTTCCTGCACATTAACTTTCCTGCCTAATTCACACTTTTGAAACTTTTGGAATGTCCAAAATGGAGGTGGGAGGTTGTCCTCTTGCAGTCTGTTTCAAGAGAGGTCATGGAAGGATGAGGCCCACCAATCCCCGCCCTGAACAAGAAATTCAAAAGCATGTCTGTGTGTGTCTCTGTGAGAGGAGGAGAGGAAGGTAGACCACCCAAACTTCGTCTTCTGCCACCTCATCTTCCTCTTATCCTTTGTGATTAATGTGGACGTCTGAAGAAATTCCAATTACATTGCGAAGCAGCAGTCAAACGTAGCAACCATGTCCTTCAGATACAGAATAGTCTGAATAGTTTCAAGTGCAGGGAAGATGGAAAGAATGGCCCTTGGTAAGCGATGGTGAGGCCAGTGGAATGGGGGCAGGAGTGATGGGAAAGGAAAGGGCACAGAGAAATTGGTGGGTGGGGGACAGAGAAGGACCACCTCCTGTAAGTCCAATACGGCCCGTGCTGCCCTGGCAGACACACCTCAGCCCTTTACGACCTCTATGCATCCTGGTGGCAGACCTCTGTAAAATACTCACTCATTATTAAGACATAATAAAAGTGCATATGAACAAACTATAACAGAAGTTATCCCAAGCTAGGAAAAAAGGGTTGCATCTTTGTTAGGTAAAGGTAAAGGTTCCCCTTGACAATTTTTGTCCAGTCGTGTTCGACTCTAGGGGGTGGTGCTCATCCCCATTTCCAAGCCATAGAGCCAGCGTTTTGTCCGAGGACAATCTTCCGTCGTCACGTGGCCAGCGTGACTAGATACGAAATGCCGTTACCTTCCCACCGAGGTGGCACCCATTTATCTACTCGCATTTTTACATGCTTTCGAACCACTAGGTTGGCAGGAGCTGGGACAAGCAATGGAAGCTCACTCCGTTGTGTGGATTCGATCTTACGACTGCTTGGTCATCTGACCCTGCAGCACAGGCTTCTGCGCTTTAGCCCACAGCGCCACCACGTCCCCCTTTTGTTATCCGCTGGCAAAGCAGAACCAATTTATTAGAAACCTAATAAGGTAAGTGAAAGTGCAATCAGATAGCAAGTTATCCGCTGGCAAAGCAGAACCAATTTATAAGAAACCTAATAAGGGTTTCAAGGTAAGTGAAAGTGCAATCAGATAGCAATAGAAGATCATGTTTGGTTGTGCTGGAAAAGGCCGCTTCACTGGAAGTGATTTGCCATAAAGGAGCCCCTCCATGCACACAAGACTCACTCCAGCTCAGCTCCAACAAAAGATTAGCCCTGCCACTGGACCAAAAAGCTTCAGATTCAGCTCAGAGCATTATAATGGTTCATACTTTCCTCTACATCATCTGATTACCGAAAAACAGCTCAAACCAGATTGTGCCATAGGCAGTCCAAAATGTGAGTGATTTTTCCATCTGATGGCAGCCAGAGATATTCAAGGAGTGATTTTATCAGCTGGTACCATCTGGTGAGTTTCCAAGGCTGAGTGAGAATCTGAGCCCAGATCTTCTGAATCCTAGTCTATCGTTGTTCCACAACACTACATGGGGTATCAGTATTAGAGACGGGATACTTGCATTCATATACGAATATGAACATCCTGGACCCAGGTGGCTGGGAGGCCCAGTCCCGCCTCGTCAAACCAACCTACCCACTGATAGATTGCCAGACGGCATGCATGACTGGTATCCTGCTTGTCACGGCAAATCCTGAACGTAGCCCAGCCAGCACTTCTCCACCTCCCTGCAATGCAAGGCGACCCATACATACATCCCATCTCTAATCAGTATCTTTAGTCAACATATAATATTTGGATGCACAGTACAGGGGGAGATTATGACTGCATTTGCAAGCAAGGGATGTGACAGACAGTCATTTTGAGAGAACTGCGGTGGGATGAGTGCAATATTTAGACATGTCCCGCTTTTGTCTCGGATGAATAGGTTTGCAGGGGTTTGTACTTTTTAAAAAACGTGCAAAACCTCAGAAAAGAACTATACATGCACAACAACCAAAGCAAACTCTCTCTGAAACCACATTCACCTCCCCTAGAAAATACTGTCTGTTACCAGTCATAAAGATTCTGTACTTCTCAGAACTTCTGTGGCATCAAAAGAGAGAGAAAGAGAGAGAGAGAGAGAGAGAGATTACTTACATTTGTGCACTGAATGTAATTGCCCTTATAATTCCAACAATCAGGATGATGATGGTTAAAATCAGAGAGATAAATGATACCTGTGGATAACAATGAAAAAAAAAACACACACAATTTCACTTTACCAAAAAGCGGTCGCATTTTCAGAATTTTCCAAAAGCATACCCTTGTTTTTCAAATAAAGGCAATGAAAAAAAAAACACAATTTCACTTTACCAAAAAGCAGTCGCATTTTCAGAATTTTTCAAAAGCATACCCTTGTTTTTCAAATAAAGGAGAAAGAATTCCTAGTTTATTTTAAGCAAGTTATTAGAGATGGGCATAAACTGGTTCGTCTCAGTTTGTAAAGAGGGTGGCTGCTTCCCTTCCCCTTCCTCCTCTGGCTCAAACCGCCACTCATCAGGCCCTGCTTGGTTGAGTGGGAGATCAGCCAAGAGGGCAGGGCAGAGACGCCTGTGCTCTTGTCTATGACTGGGAGATCAGCTGAGAAGTTGGGGGAAAAAACCAAGTAAGCTGGGCTTAGTGAGTGGCTGAGCCAAAGGAGGTGGGGGGGTGGCTGCTTCCCTTCCCCTTCCTCCTCTGGCTCAAACCGCCACTCATCAGGCCCTGCTTGGTTGAGTGGGAGATCAGCCAAGAGGGCAGGGCAGAGACGCCTGTGCTCTTGTCTATGACTGGGAGATCAGCTGAGAAGTTGGGGGAAAAAACCAAGTAAGCTGGGCTTAGTGAGTGGCTGAGCCAAAGGAGGTGGGGGAGCAGCAGTGAACAAAGCAAGTAAACTGGGCTTGGTGAGTGGCTGAGCCAAAGGAGGTGGGGGAGAGGAGCAGCAGCAACTGTGCCACCACCTTTACAAACTGGGACAAACCGGTTTGTGCCCATCTCTACACATTATCCAACTGCCAGTCCCAACTATAAGAGCAATGGAATCAATTACTGAATGGCAAGTTAGTATCTATTTCTGTTATCTGCAGACAAGCTGGAAGTAACTTATAGGAATCCTAATGGAGCTTTCAAGGTAAATGAGTCCGGATGAGGGAAATCTTCGCTTACCAGTGAGTTTTTCCGCAATAGGAACACATTAAACGGAGTTTAATGCGTTCCTATGGGTTCCCCCCCCGCATAGCGACGAATCTGGATAGCGACGTTAATCCTGGAACAGATTAACATCGCTATGCGGGGCACCACTGTATCTATGTCTGTTATCTGCAGTCAAGTTGGAAGTAACTTATAGAAATCCTAATGGAGCTTTCAAGGTAAATGAGATATTTAAGGAATGGCTTTACCAGCTTCGCACCCTCAGTGAACTTCCATGGCTAAGCATGGATTTGAACCAAGGACTCCTGAATCCTATCTACTACCTATGTAATAATAACAATTGTGTGCCGTCAAAACTACAGTGGGGTCTTGACTTAAGAACGGCTTGAGTTAAGAACATTTTGACTTAAGAACCGCTCTCATAGGAAAATATTGACTTAAGTACTTAGATTTGAGTTAAGAACTGAAAAAAAACCACGTGGGAGGCAGGGAAAGTGCAAAATTTGAACTTTCAGTTAACTGTTGGCCAGTGAAAAGGGTGCCTGTCTGCTTCCTCACTCCTCCCAGCGTTGAGAGAGTGGATTGGGAGACAGTCTTCGGACTGCCTGGTACTGTACTGCCTGGACTGTATTTTCCCTGCCTTCCCTGAACCTTTCTTGACCTAAGGAAAAAAAAAGAAACAAAATATCCCCTCTCTAGTGGTCGAAGGCAGAATAGCAGCTTCCCATTAGTTTCTATGGACGGAAAAGAGCAGATACGGATCAAATGGTTTTCAATGCATTCCTATGGGAAATGCAGATTTGACTTGAGAACTTTTTGACTTGAGAACCGCCTTCCAATACGGATTAAGTTCTCAAGTCAAGACCCCACTGTATTCTGAACTTCGGCAAAGTTTTCCAGGTTTTCTAGGTACTGAGTACTGAGAAGTGGTTTACCATTCACTTCTTCTGGGGGGCATCCTCTGACCCAAGGATACATATCCACTTGCAGGAGTCACAGTGGGGAACGAAACTCGCAACCTTTGGGTCTGCAGCCAGATATCTAACTCACTGAGCTCATCAGCTACCTATGTAAACCTCCTTTATTCAGCTGACCTCTGCTAGTTTGATCCAGGCCAGCTTGATTAAATGACATGTTTACATTTAAAATGCAGAGAAAGGGAAAAGTCAAAAAGTAAGAAGCAACACAATGAAAACATCACATAGGCTTCTAAACAGCAGGTGGATTGGTTTATTATGCTTCTAATAATTTTATGCCCACCACAGTTAACAGACTTCAATAGAACTAACAAAGCATCATGGTGGGCTACAATCCTGCATATATAATTCTCAGGGTTACATACAATTAAACGGTATTATAGAAATGGAAAGTTTAACTCTGTCACCTGATTTTTTTTTACAGACAGGGCTTATGTTCTGCATTCAATATTTTTCTCAAAAACGTATATCTCTCTTGTTAACCAAAAACGCCAATTCACTTCCAAACAATGAGAAGAAGACTAGTGAAAATAAGAAAGATGTTGCAATTTAAGCACAAAGGGAGCAAACAGCTTGTAAGAACTATTTCCCTCTTTCTCCCCCCCCCCAAGGAGGATGGCATCAAATAGGGTGTACTCAGAAGCGGTTTATCATTCGCTTCTTCTGGGGGCATCCAGATACCTAACTCACTGAGCTAGTCAGCTACCTATGTAAATCTCCTTTATTTAGCTGACCTCTGCTAGTTGGGATGGCCATTTTGATTCAGGCCAGCTTAATTAAATGACATGTTTACATTTAAAATGCAGAGAAAGGGAAAAGTCAAAAAGTAAGAAGCAACACAATGAAAACATCACATAGGCTTCTAAACAGCAGGTGGATTGGTTTATTATGCTTCTTATAATTTTATGCCCACCACAGTTAACAGACTTCAACAGAAGTAACAAAGCATCACGATGGGCTACAATCCCGCATATATAATTCTCAGGGTGACATACTGTACAATTAAACAGTATTATAGAAATGGAAAGTTGTCGCCTGATTTTTTTACAGACAGGGCTTATGTTCTGTATTCAATATTTTTCTCAAAAACATATATCTCTCTTGTTAACCAAAAACGCCAATTCACTTCCGAACAATGAGAAGAAGACTATGAAAATAAGAAAGATGTTGTAATTTAAGCACAAAGGTAGCAAACAGCTTGTAAGAATATTTCCCTCTTTCTTCCCCCCAAAGGAGGATATCATCAAATAGGGTGTTGTTGTGTGGGTGTTGTATTTTGCTTCCCACCTACTGGTAAAGTGGGGCTAGAAAGAGGGAGGCTTTCAAGATTTTATCACACCTTGAGATACATTAAATATCTACGTTACATTTTAATCCTCTCAGGTATACATGAGAGATTGGATCGAAACATCATCTAAAGCTGCACATTTCGGATTAGTATTCAGATACTCATTGCAAATGATTTACCTTTCCCAGTTTTGATATATTTCGATAAAGTGAAAGAGGAAGGGTAAAGATGACAGTAACACATAGAATAATGACATGGCGCCGAATAAGAAAATTTTCTTGATCAACTGTTTAAAAAAAGAGAGAGAGAGAGAATTAATTTGTGTGTTGCTATAATAATTGATGTTAGATTGTTTGTTAAATCTGTCGTATCAAATATTTACTTTTAGTTTTTAGAATGCTGAATAATCTACTTGTGTAATAGGGGAGACACCAGGGAAAGGAGAGCTATATATATGCCAAACGTAGTATAAGTGGTTTATTCTAGACTATAGGCTAGGCAGGAGGTGTGTATATAGTATTAATCACAAAAGCATTGCAAAATAAATGCCATGAAAATTATGCTTAAGATGAAATCCAGTTCCCTCTAGATGTCTGTGTAAAGAACTGCATGGAGGAAGGCAGGGGCACAATGCAGCAAGACGAGAGGGAATGGCGTCATGGAGGACTGGAAGTAAAATGATCGGAGACCATGAGGAAAAACTCTTATATTTACTCGCACAGGGGCCAAATATTAGCCCCAAGTAAAAACAGAGCCTTTAGGTGGGCATCATATCTGTGCATTGATTTGATCTTCAGGATTTTGAACAGACAGCTCATAATATGTATGAGGTGAGATACCAGAAAACTAAACACCAGGAAAACGAACCAATATGGCTTTTCTGCATAAGATATACAATTAGTAGGTGTTCTATGAATAAACACAGAAATATACAGAAATATGTGGACCAATTTTCCTAACACATTATGCAAAAACATTCACCAGAAGGAATGGGAAGGACATTGAAACACTCACCTCCAGGAATTCTTTGGAAGACTTTTGTCAAAGTATCTCCTGCTATAATGTTGTAGCTAATCATGGCTTCAAAACAAAAGGAGGAATTAATCCATAATAAAGGTAAATCAAGATGCATTTTACCTTGGCAGAATGGGTCCCCCATCGCTGCCACAGCCCCCTCTATATCCACAAATCTGCTTCACAGGATTGAGGGAGTAAATCTGGAGATGGATGCCCCTTGGATGACATCTAACGCCATTCCAACAAAATGTTATAAGCAGCACACTGTACCTCCTCTGAAGTTGTGTTGTTGGAGGGTTTTGTTTTGTGTTTTCTTTTTTGTTAATCACCTTAAGGGTTTAATCTGACGTAATTTACTTTGGAGGAATTCACTATTGAACTCAGTAGCACTAAATTCCAAATCAGAATTCATGATCCACAAATCTGCTTCACAGGATCGAGGGAGCCGCTAGAGTAAATCTGGAGTGGAGATGGATGCCCCTTGGCTGACATCTAACGCCATTCCAACAAAATGTTATAAGCAGCACACTGTACCTCCTCTGAAGTTGTGTTGTTGGAGGGTTTTGTTTTGTGTTTTCTTTTTTGTTAATCACCTTAAGGGTTTAATCTGACGTAATTTACTTTGGAGGAATTCACTATTGAACTCAGTAGCACTAAATTCCAAATCAGAATTCATGGGATCAGGCTCTTAAAATGATACCCTGAATGCCATTCTAGAGCCAACAGCTCTTTGGAACGCCAGATATAACTTCCTGTCTAGAAAACAATCTAGAAAACAATTGAATATTCTGATTCCAATGCTTCCATCAGTTAAAAAAAAAATGGTTTGCCTCTTTCTCTACTACAGAGGCACCCAGCAGCCCACTTACAAAAAACTCTCTGTCTGTAGATTCAGAGTTGGAAAATTCCATTTTTGTTTACTGCAACTCTTCCCATGTTAGCCCTCTCTGTAGATTCAGAGTTCATCCAAAGCCTTGGAAAATTACATTCTTGTTTACTGCAACTCTTCCCATGTTAGCCGAGGGATTTGCGGAGCTGTTGTACAAAAAAGGGGTAACATTTTCAACCTCTGTTTTACATATATACGTATGTACTTAAGCTCCTCAGATATCTCCCCTTGAGAAAAGAAGATTAAGGGGGAGATACGATAGCATTTTTAAAATACTTGGAAGGTCATCATGCAAAGGAAGGGCAGGATCTGTTCTCCATCTAAGAGGGAGATACGATATCGTTTTTAAAATACTTGAAAGGTCATCATACAAAGGAAGGGCAGGATCTGTGCTCCATCATCCCAGACTGCAGGTCACGCAACAATGGGCTCAAGTTAAAGGAAGCCAGATTTCAGCTGAATATCAGGAAAAACCTCCTTACTGTTAAAGCAGTGCAGTACGACAGCCATTTACCTCGGGAGTTGGTGAGTGCTCCAGCACTAGAGGCATTCAAGAGAAATTGATTGATTGATTGATTGATTGATTGATTGATTGATTGATTTGATTGATTTGATTTGATTTGTATCCCGCCCATCTGATCAAATAGACCACTCTGAGCGGCTGAGAAACTTAAGACAACCACCTGGCAGATATCCTAGATATACTTTGATTTGTATTCCTGCACTGAGCAGGCGGTTGGACTTGATGGCCTTATAGGCCTCTTCTAACTTCACTTTCTATGATTCTATGATGTTAAGAACTGCAAAGCAGCCCAGGCCCCAAAATCCCCTTTACAAGGAATGGGAAGCATTGGAATCAATCTTTCATCTTGCAGGATACTAAGCAAAGATTGAACCATATTAGATTCCAGTTTTCTTCTTTTGCATCAAGCGTTAAAAAGCCTTGTTAGTAATGTATTTTGTAATATGACTTTACCAATGAAGGGGTATAAGAACTGGAGAACTGAGAGAATCAGGTGCCCCATAAAACCATAGGCTTTATTGACCAGTGCTTGATAACTGCTGGTTCCAGAGAGGTTTCCTCCTTTAATCAAAAGGATAGTAGAATAATCTGTTGGGGAGGGGAGAAAAGTAGATAAATTCCATTAAAAAACAACTTATTTGATGAAATCCAGCAGCATAACCCATGCCATGTAAGGCTGATGACATCATCAGCTGTGGTGTTTTCTCAGAAATTAAACATTGCTGACTCTCCTCCCCCCCACACGCACAATCCCTTTTGTCAAGGTGGGACTTGTTGGGGACTGTGGGATAAGAGGAAAGTCTTTCATTTCTGAAAACACTGCTTCAGGTTTTAACTAGCAACCTAGGCAGCTTCTCTGTATGGAACCTATGGCGTTCCATGTGGCTTTAAACTTTTGGTCACAATGATTAAAACAGAAGTGCTGAATCACCCCCAAAGCACATAAGATGTGAGCAGCTACTATCATGACAAGAAGAAACTAACCAAATGACTAAAATCCCCTTGCTTTGCATATTAAGTCACAAGGGTAGGCTGAATCAATGGAACTTACAGAAGAGCTGACTCACCAAACGCTCTATGTTTCTTAATGATTTCAAAAGACCAGCATAAAAGAAACCACTTAACATAATTCTACTGATCTTAACGCACTGATCTATGGGCTTTTGAAAATCGAAGCACAGTATATTTTCCACTTGCTAATGGCAACAGCTTTTAAAGTGATACCTGTGATATAAGCAACACCCAAAAGGAGCAGTATTCCTAATGGAAAGCCAGCTTGCTTCAAAGAATAAGGCAGGCCTGTGAACACACAGCAAATGAACAATTCAGCTGGAGATCTTATTCATGCAAACCTTTAAAGAAATGCACTGTTTCCATCTCTAAAATCCAGGGTTGAAATATTGAGATTCCAATTCTTGTTATCACGATCTCTGGGTACCTCTACCACCTGGATTTATTCTCCAGCAGTGGGCATCACCTCTGGGGGCTCCACTGGGATAGCGAGCAGTATGACAAGATTTGTCTTGTCTGGGAGTGTGACAAGATTTAGTTACCCTGTGAATCAGTTCAGAAAAAAACTGAGCTGTTTCCCAATTCGGAAGTGGGGAAAATAGCTTGGTTTTATTGGGTTCTGATTTATGGATGATCCAGGAAAGGTTCTCATCAAACGAAAATGAACAAACGCTGCCTTGGGAAATACTAAGTGCTGGGAAGGATACTAGCTCTTGAAGGGTCTTATCCATTAAGAAGTGAAGAGTTTTCCTGTTTAAAACAAAACAAAGCAAAACCTATTAGCATTTTTAAATGTTCCACTGTCATTCCTAATACTGAGAACCATGGAATGGGCTCATAGCTTTATGAACCCACGTGATTCTACTACACTTTGCTATCCTTTGTTATTCCCACCCCACCATACTACAGCACTTCTTCCTTCATTGCAACAGCATCTATGCGCTCTTTTGTCCTTGAGCTAGTCCAATCAGTACTCTTGGCCACAGCTCCCTAACGTTGTCCACAGCCTCTGTATCTCTGTGCTGCCTTTGTCTCTTTTCCATTGGTCTTAGTATGTGGTGGTGGTGATGGTACAGGAGATGCACAAAGATTGACATGGAGATGGTCAACAGTAGTTGCCCTCTAGGTGTTTTGGGACTTAAGGTCCCAGGACCCCTTATAACTAACTAAACCTGGTTAGAGCTGGTGGGAACTGCAGATGAAAAACATCTGGAGGGCCACCATTGTTGACCTCCAACCAACCCTCCTGGATGAGAGTGTTCAAGTTTTATTCCTATTCATCTTCCCAACTTCTGACAAAACATGGGTACTATCATAGATGGCTTGTAAGTAGAGCAGAGGAGGGGCAGCCCCCACTTCCATAAGCCATCCTTGAGACTGCTTGTGTCCGTTGGTCACTCTTTATAACAACCTCCTTCAATCTGATGCCCTTCAAAGGCTTTCATGTGCAACCCTCCCTGTCCTCCACTGTCAGCATGGCCAATTAGCTGCACAGATCTGCAGGGCATTTGCAGGTCAGGAAAGGGTGCTTTATAAGCTAATTATGCCCTATCAGGATTTATCCTTGGTAAAAAATTTTGCATTAATATCTCATTGACTTTTTTTACCAATAGCATACGTGGGGTTTCTCACCTTGATAGACACCAATCTCCATTAGTATAATAAAATTATTATAAACACATATTGATATTAATAAGTTCAAACAACAAAATAATGAACTAAATGAAATGTGCTGTTGGGGCTTTGGGACAGGTATTCTATTCTATTAATTCTCTTGTAATTTGCCCAGATGACTTTCATTACTGGGCCAATTGGAAGTCAAATAAACAAATAAAGAATTTTTACCTATCATGCCAGATCCTATGATAGAGTTGATAACGTTAAAAGTAGCTGATAAGAGGTTGCATGTTCCTTGTTTATTCTTTAGTTTACAAACCAGGCTTGTCCTTTCATCCGCTTCTTCCTGTTTCAACAATGCAATATGTTAGACAAGAACATACTCATTAAAATAAAATATACATTTAATAAAAGTTTCTGGTTTTCAGGGGGTCCCCCCCCTCACGCTCCCCCAAAAGGGATAACCCCTGAGTATAGATTGACTCTGGAGTTCCATGCTTCAGACCAAGTTAAAGCCAGTGTGGCTTTAAGTGTTTTGCAAACTGAAGCACAACTATAACCCATTTCAGAGGGGATGCTTTGAAGTGGCAGTACTAAATGAAAGTATTAGGACCCACCACACTGAGTGAAATTTGATTGGAAAAAGCACAACTAGGATTATGTTGCAGATCCACTGTGCATAGTAACTCCGAATATCTGAATACCAATATGGAGTTTGGATGAGAGCCAATAAAACAGGATCTGTATCGTGTGGACATTAGTCATGTGAAAGATCTTCTCATCTCTAACACGCTGCCCCCTATGCAAATCATACCCTTGAGATGACATTATCTGAAAAAATCTGGAGAATATAAAAAAAATACTCTGTAAGAACTAAGTGAACTGTGTTCGTGTTCATATTAACTTAGTTACCAACTGTTTTGGATCTTCCATAGGTATCTCAGTAGCCCTGGAAACGACTAATCTAGTGCAGAACATCTGCTGCTATCAAATGCCAATTTAGATGAAATGTGGCAGGGACATCAAGATATATTTGGGTTCACCTTTCCATGTTAAAAAAAGAAGTACACTAGATTTCTTTGTCTTATGGCCTTGATGGTGACCATTTCCATTAACTTGATAGCTAACCACCATGTGTTTCATTCCACATACTGGAAGTGCCCGGACAAGTCTAAGATCTTCCCGTTTTAGGAACTCGGAAAGCGGCCTCACACAAATTGAGTCCCTTTGGTCCCTCCATCTAGCTCAGCACTTGGCAACTCTGTCTGGTGGCAGAAGCTCGCCAGCGTTTTAGGATTAGGAAGAACTACCGCCCAATTCACTGGTATTCTCTCTTGCAAGTACGACCCAGGTCTGACCTTGCTTAGTTTCCAAAATCAGAAAAGCAGTCAGTGTGTTCAGGGTGTTCCAGCACCACTGCTTTAACTCTTCAGGGACCAACCACGACACAGAAAGGCTGTTTGTGACCCTCTTGTGCTAAGCCTTTACTGGAGCAATGTCTGGAATTATTGCTCTTTAGTTCTCCTGACCTGTAGCTAATAGTTCGTTTTCTCTGTTTTCCCAACATGGGCATTCAGTACATCTGACCTTGTAATCACATCAGCCCCTAGTCCTGGGAATCCAACAAGTTTCAAAGATCTTATCCTTTTTCTCTTCTGGAGTCTTCATGGCACAACCCAATTCATGCTTCACTCCACACAGTGTGGAGGGAGACCACCCTTATGGCCTTGGACAGGCTGAAACCCCTGCATCTTTCTGTCTGCAACTAATGCCTCAGTCATTAGTCAATATGATACGGCCACTTGTTTTGTCATGAATGGGTAGCAAATCAACAGGTATTTCATTTATTTCTATATATTCTTTCTCAAGGGAAAGGCACTTTGGGCATTTTCTGAAGCAAGCATCAAAATGACTTGACTGGCCTTGGCACTATACAACCAGATGGCACTATACAATCAGGCAGCAAAATGTCTTGATCTGCTCTCAGAGGTCCTTTCTCTATGCCAGTTTTTCAAAGAAAACATTCCCCCATTTCTCTTTAGCTTATACTGGAATAATAAAATGCAGGCATTGCCTCTATCAATGGTTCCCAATCTTGGGTCCCCAGGTGTTTTTGGAATAAAACTCCCAGAAGCCTTTTCACCACTAGCTTTTGCTGGCCAGGATTTCTGAGAGTTGTCATCCAAAAACACCTGGGGACCCAAGGTTGGGAAGCACTGTGCTAGATGGGTTTTTGCAGACCCTTCCTTGGTGGGTTCAACGCAGGAAAGAGTGCCAATCTGAATAGAGGATCATCATCATTTTAGGAGGGCAGAGCTGGAAGGGACCTGGTGGATCATCAAGTCCATCCCCTGTCAAGGAGACCTAGCAGGAAACCAAACTCCCAACCTCTGGCTCAGCAGCCAGAGACTGAGCGATCCTCCAGCTGGGATCACCCAGGAAAGAGGAAATTCATTAGGGGACCGGCAGCCTGAGAAAAGCCCCCTCTGCATACTTTGGTAGTCAAAAAGGGCCATGCAAGGGACCAGGTGGCCTCCGTGGTTCATTTGAATTCCCCCCACTCCGGCCCCCAGATGAAGGCTGCTCCACAGAGAACCAGGGCCAGAGGCGGACCTGCTGCGAGAGACCCCGGCTTCTCTCAAGCGGCAGAGGCCCTGCAAGCGTCCCCCACCCCCGGGCACAGGCAGGGCCATCACCCCGTCGCGGGGAGAAACACAAGGGAAGTTTTAAGACAGGATCAGCCGCCAGAGGCGGTTTCTGAGCCGAGGTCCTGAAGGGCAGTTTCCGCAGCCGCGGGTGCGCAGCTCCAGTCCCCCAACCCAGACATCCCCCCCCCCGAGTTCGCTCCCGGGGAGTGGGGAGAAGTTTTATGTCGGAAGTTGCCGAGATAAGGGCAGGGCCCGAGTCTCATCTGAGGAAAGACACGAAGGCGGGAGAGGAGAGGAGAGGGTGAAGAGCCTCCGACTCCCTCAAGGGGAAGCGCGCCGCCCGCTCACCTGG